CAGAAACAGACGTCGAAAAAGTAACCTCAACATTTCCTCTCCTTCTTCCTCCTCTGCTTTTTCTTCTGTCACTTTCTGTACTTTCCATCTCTTCCTCATCTCTATCTTTCTCTCACTCTTCGTATTTGCCGTTCTGCCTCATAATGAAATCACCATTGCTACAAATAATCATAACCAGAGGATGAGTTATGTGTGGGTATAAATTGTTAATGAAATCCATCCCCACAAAGGCTCAGAACTAAGCTTTCCATAAAACCATGTCATCGTCGAAGCTTTCATTGCTAAATTCTAAGCCAGTAGACGAAGATTGATCCAGCGCAGAAAGACAGCAATTATTTGACTTTAGTACTATGGAAGAGTAAGTGAAATCTCCTTTGATGAAATAGGCCTAACACACAGTACTGCTGTAGCTCATATGTTCTCATATAAGTATTAGTTGATTTTATATCTGTAAAGCACTCTGTCAACTTAGTTTTGTTATTAAGTACATGGTTACCACGAAAGCAGAAGACCAAACAGGCGATTCATCTTTTCTTTGAAAGAAAAAGAAGGGAGCTCAAAGCCAACAGCAGAGCAGTACACCACTCTGTGATTCTTAACTTTCTAGAAATGGCTGAGAACAATGCGTCCCCAAAAATCTATTTCAAAGAATACTTTTTACATTTTGGCAATAACGTTTATTCGCTTTGTTGCTGAACTAGATGAGAGCGATGTCACTGTCATGTCAGTCAGCAGGTGCTTAGCTCAGCAAAAACACAGCTAGTCTAGCTCTGTTCAAATGCAGATACAAATACAACTACCAGCACCTCTAAAGCTCTGTAGTTAACACGTTATATCCTGTTTGCTAAATATGACAATCTAGACAGCAGAACCGTTATAACTTAAGTATTTTAGTACGATGTGTCTTTATAAATCAATTTAAAGTGGCACAAATCAAGATTTCTGTATTAAACGTTAGAAAAGAAAGAAAATGCTAATATAGCTCTGCGCCTGCTGGACATGTAAACACTCAATTGCTTAACAGTTTCATCATGTCAGCTTTATAAGGTGAGAATCTATCATGTTTACAAATTGTCGCCCTAAAAATCAATTGTCACAGATGAAAGAATTATCAATTTTATAAAGTACTAAAACAATATCAGTAAATGTTAAAGCTTCCTCCTTTTGTCAGCTAACATGTGACTTCTGTCTCCTGTAGGTGCTGCTCTGGGTGCTGCTCTCTCTGCTGCCTCAAGTGGAAGGAGCTCATATGAAAGCTGGTTCTGCTGGTGTGGGATCAGACTCGGGCCCTGCTGTGGGCCTGCCTGCAGGCCAGGAGGAGAGAGAGCTTCCTGTGACGCTGCCAGAGGTGGTGGAGGACGAAGAGCAGGAAGACAGTGAACCTTACTCTACTTGGCACACTCTATATGGTACTAATGCTCTTGTGGAAGTGTAATTTACAGCACATCTGCTTCACCAGACAGTATTAGAGTGGAAAGAGGGCATGAGTCTGGGGATCTGCTCTGTATTTCAATCATTAAAATATATTTGCATGAGATTTAAAGGGTGACAAGTCTTTTTAAGTCAAGAGGTAGACGTGAAATTTTAGAATTAGCAGGATCATTTGCATGTTATTGCTCATAATTTCCTGTATATGTATTAATTTTCATGTAACTCTCTCTCTGCCTGCCACTCCTCTTTTTTCTCCATTTTAGACCCCTTTGTAATAGACGAGGTGGATGACCATCCCAGTAGTCGCTGGGCGGGGCGCTCTCCCCGCTCCTCTGACCCCTCAGAACCTCAACCCCAGGGATCACCAAAGAAAAAGAAGAAGAGGAAGAAGAAAGAAAAGGAGGAAGAGGAAGAGACAGGGAGAGTAGATAGAAAGGGTAAAGGTAAGAGCAGACAGCCGAAGCAAAGCAGCAGGGACTGCCGTGTGGAGAAGAAAGAGATGAAGGTTCGGGACCTGGGCCTGGGGTTTGACTCGGATGAGATTGTCCTCTTCAAGTTTTGCGTTGGCTCCTGCCAGTCTTCAAGAACAAACTACGACCTGGCACTGAAGGCGCTGCTGGAGAACGGCTCGCTGCCCCGGCGCACCGCCCGCAAGGTCAGCAGCCACCCCTGCTGCCGGCCCGACCGGTACGAGCCGGTTTCCTTCATGGACGCCCAGACCACGTGGAGGACTATCCAGTCGTTATCAGCAGCCAGCTGCATGTGTATGGGCTGAAGACGTGAACGAGGGAGAAGGTGACTGGGAGGGGTGTCACACATCCTGAACAGAGAGGAGTCAAGAGGCTCAGGGTGTGGACGGCCCGGGTACAGGGAAAAGCCAGAGGGCGCCGCTGTTACACACACAGAGCAGGGAAGTGACGGAGGCCACTTGTTGGCTTCCTGTGGCGTATCTCCTGTTGAGGAGGACGAGGGTCTGGGTGCAGCTGGACGATTGATGTCAATGGTCAAAATCAGAGAGTGAGTGGGAAGTCATCAGGGAATCACAGCCTGGATTTACTGTTGCGTCTTCCAAGAGTTCATTGTTTTCAGCTGAATGCAGGACACTCCAGACCAGTTAACGCGACTGTTCTGCTTTTAAATGGACGAGGCCTGAAGGCTGAAGCTCAAGAGATATAAAGGGGAAGACGCAATTAAAGGACCGTCACTGCCTTTATATTCTGACAAAAGAAAAGACTGATATGATGTTCACTACTTACTCACAGTGACATCAGCTCGTCCCAAAAGTATATCATTTTTGTCACATAAAAACAGGGACATTACATTATACCGTTTCTATGTTCAGGTGAACTCAGCCAAATGGATGCCATGCATCTTCATGTATTACTGTATAAAAGTAACATATATTTATTTCTGATAAATTATTTATTTATTATAGCTTCATGTGAGAGCTGTTTTATTAACTCTATATTGTAGATAAATATCTATTTATTGCCGATTTACATTTCATGTTACTTCTGCTTGGATACAGTACGTATGTTTTTTTTTTAAAGGTGCATTTCCACATTTATCCAACACCTCATAAACCTGGACTGGACAGATGATTCTGGGCAGAATTAGATTGGATGCAATAGACTTGTGATTTTATAAAAGATAAAAACAACAACAACAATCCAAAAGCTTACATTCTGTCTTACATGCGATCACAGACACTTTAAAAAATCCGTATAACAGATCGCCAGAAACAAATTGACCGACATTGAAATGATGTGGTATATCTAATACATGTTGTTTTCTCAAGAGCACCTCACATGTTCAGAGTGGATGTACAGCAAACAAGAAAAAACATTTACACTGCAGGACCTCATTGTTTTTCATCTTAAAATGGTGATTTCCATTCAATTAAACGCTCCCTGTATGTCACATTATTATTATTATTATTATTATTATTATTATTATAAAAAGTTTTCTTTATTTTTGTATGGCATTATCCTCTAAGAGAATAAAGTTTTTTAATATAAATCGTGTCACTGTTTGCTTCACTTGAAGACTTTTAACTGCCATAATGATTTTTTCATGTGAGCAGGATCAACACCACTACTTTTTTCAGTTCAATTTAAAGGGGACTTATTATGTCATAGAGCCACCTGCTGGTCTAAAATAAACATTAAAATGTGAACCTGTGCCCTGGGTGGCGTCGTTCGCCTGCCGCCTGTCTGCTCAACCGGAGAATGTCTGCTCGATCATTTCCTGCGTTTGAACCAGCAGAACAGGTCAAATTCAGCGGTGCGCTGTCTTCTGTGTTTTTTTTCTGAACGGATCCAACAACACATGAAGCAACCACCAAAGGTCATATAGCTTACAGCAATGGTATCTCTTTTTCTTTCTTTATAAAAGGTGATATGTTCACAATGGCTGTAATCAAAACATATTATGCAATTGTGCAATATAAAACAAGATTTAATTAGTTTCAAAAGGTCTACATTCAGTTTTCTCTGCATCATGCAACACAGAGTAAATTAGCAGCACTTACATTTGATTTGATACTTTAAACAAATTTAACAACAACACATAATGAATATATACATATGTATATATGTATATATATTGTGAATGGCACATATGGATTCATACAGTGTATCAAACTTTTCCGAGTGTCTCGCCCTTTATTTGTACCCATGGGGTATGATTATATTTCCATGTTTGGAAATGATCACAATTCTCTGTCCTTTCAGCAGAAGTCTTATTATAAAGCAAACCAGACTCTACTGGTCTACTCTACTCTACCAGACTCTACTGGTCTACTCTACTACAATTGTGGCTAAAGGTCAGATTTAAGTTCACTGTACATACAGCTGTAGTAGGTTGGGGTCATGTGTTTTTCTGCAACTCACCTGAATGGAGACATATTCTGGTTGATATGAAAAAGATGCAGGACATGCACATCCTCAACTGGATCACTTAACCTTAAAACAAAGCTTCAATTTAGAGAGCTTTATGCGGCAGTTTAAATCATTTAAGAGGGATGTATGATGACCGAGTGCTGATGTTGACTGAGAAGTACTGTTTCATTTAAAGGAATACTTCAGCCACAACATTACCATTTGTAATAGTCAATTACTCACCACGTGTTACCTTGAATTGATGCTTTTCCTTGCATGCCTCCACGGTGAACAGAGAATCATAATACGGAGAAAAGACCCCGGACTTGCACGGAAGTGTTTCAAAAAGTAAGGTTTTCGCGAAGGTGTGTTTGGGAAGTAGTTAGCGAGCCTCCGACTAAATAAAGGAGAGTTGGATTATACTGCACAAATTGTGTGGGAGTTTGTAAACGATTGTTTGATATTGTTTTGAAGTCTCCATTTGCTCCAAATCACCAAGACTTCTCTCCCGTTTTTGATTCCCCGTTCATCGCGGAGGCATGCGAGGAAAACAAAGTTTTCTTCAAGATTCAAGGTAACAGTCGGTGAGTATTCTTATTGATATGGTCATTTGTGGGTATTCTTTTTTGTAAAGCTGACATGGCCCTTAGGTGGTTAGAAATCATCTAAAGAGGTCCGGTGTGGATTGTATCACTAGCACCGTTGGTTTTGCTCACAGTTGAATTAAAACGTTTTCTGTGCAGATGAAACAGCTGACCGACTCTGAAGACATTTTAAACAGATGTTGGCAGCTCACACTTGTTTATCAAAGGCATTTCGCTGACTGACATGAACTCGGTGTGCTGAACGTGCAGGTGACAATGTCCACTTTTCTAATGTGCGCGGACAGCAGCGGCGTTTCACTGCGTCCTGGAGACGACTTGAGCGCCACCTCCTGTTTGGAACTAGATGCTGCTTCCTCTTCACACCCGAGGATCGCGGTGGACTCGACGCTGAACGGGTGGAAGTTGACCCGGGTGGTGTCGTACTCCCATGCTTGCCTCCTCGCAAAGTCTGTAAAAGATGTATTCTTGATGGTCACCCGGAGTTCCACGTCGTTCCTGTAGCAGGCTGTGCGTAATGACGCGTAGCTGGTGTCATTACTGTTTAAAGACGGAGGGGAGTGTTGACCTCCTACCCAACCGATGTTGTCACCACGACCGTCTTTAACGTGGGCCACTGTCCTCTTCAGCTTCTCGCAGCCTTTTAGCAGCAGGTTCTTCCGGCACAGAATGTACACCCAGGGGTCTAATATGGGGTTGAATGAGGCGAAGCGGATCGCCAACATGTCGCCCCGGTAGTCAGGCTTACCCCCAGCAGAGATGTAAGCAGGGTCGTACAGCTGGTTGACGAAGATTCGCACCTGTCGGATAGAAACATGGACAGAGAATGTGTAAGAAAGGTGTTTGATAACAAATAAAATAGAGAACAATAATACAAAGTATCGTATCGTAATAGAATAGGCAGTTGTAATAAAAAAAATCCGGTTGTCCTTACCACTAAAGGGATGGAGCAGACCAGGAAAACGATGGTCATGAAGATCAGAAGCCAGAACATTTGAATCTCCGCCGCTGAGGTGACCGACGGCAGCCGGGGGAAGCGGCGACGTGATCCTCCCTGCTCACAGGACTCCGTCCTGACTATCCCTGTCGTCTGGTTCATCCCCACCAGCGACCTGCACACTGCCAAATTACACAAAACTGTCACTGCGATCAGCACCAGCATCACGCCGGCGTACAAGAAGGAGTAGCAGGCTCCAAGTGGATCCATCGCCCTCCAGTCCAGAAAGCACCAAGTCCCGGGAAAGTGCCTGACGTGCTGTCCGAAGCCAAAACTGGGCATAATGCAAAGTAAAATGTTAGCCAGGTAGGTGACCAGCAGCGCAAAGCGCGCCATTGTCCGGTCTATGTGCTGGGAGTAGAAATACGCATGGTTTATGGCCAAGTATCGTTCCACGGCCATGGCGCACAGGATTGACATCCCGGCTGAACCGAAGAAGAGCATGGAGAAGGAGAAGAAGTGGCAGAGCAGCACTCCTCCTGGCCAGCGGTTGGCCACATATGTGGCGATCACCACCGGGCTGGTGAAGCATGTTCCCAACAGATCCGTGATGGCCATCCCGCAGACCAGAGTGTAGAAGGTGGTTTCTTTCTGCTCCTTTTTGGAGATACACAGCACGACGATGGCGATGATGTTCCCTAGGACACCCACGGCGAACATCGTGGCTGAAGTGACCAGAGACTTGGACTCTAGCCAGAGCGCAGGGAACACGCTTTGGTTGAGGCTGAGAGAGAGAGGCGTCAGGGACTCAGAAATATTCGTGTCCAGTTCTCCAAACGCAAGAGTGTCGTTGATCATAATTTAAACCAACACTGCACAAGGGTTTAAGTGCGAGGACTTTCCGCGATGTTTCAACACTTCCTGTGTAAATATAGAGCGCTTATCAAGATAAATCTTTAGCTGTGACATTACATCCCGAATTATCCTGTGAGAGCATGACGTGCATTACATTGAAGTGCTTCTTCTGTTTAGTTTGCAGCAGTGTGTTTGTCTCCCGTTGAGCCCACACGAAGGTGTGCCTGATTGTGTTGACACCGTTGGTGCTGCGGGTATTTTAAGCTGTGTGCTGATGTCAGGAGAGTGACGCGCGTGCTGTGAGCACAGAGACCCAGGGTTCCCCGTATCACATTAGCCTACTGCCAAAGAATCAATACTTTTTCATTGCTCGCCATATCAGCCTTAACTCAATAAACACAGGACCCAAATGTCAGCCTCCGATCAGACAACTTTAAACACCTGCATTTGTTTAAAAAAAAAAGGGAAAGAAGAAAGAAATCCGCATAAATTTGCTCTATCTTCACCATTAAACGTCCGTCTATAAAAAAAACAACAACATATATTTGTGATTTATAGGCTAAGTACATATGGAGGGTCTCAATGTTCAACTGAGATAATGTGATATGCTGTTAGAGTATACAATAGTATAACTACCTGTAATTCAATAGGCTGGGCAGGTTAACTAAAACAAAAAGCACGAGTCTGTGTAACCACATATTGTCCAGTAGTACAAGTAAAGACAGCATGTCATAAATCCCAAACTTCAGCACCAAGGTCAGCGCCTTCAACACAATCAGCACCACGAACAAGGACAGTCGTCACTCAACCACTCAACACTGTAGGCCTGTTAAAGTTGTGGCACAACACAGACAAAATAGTTTGATAAAGCATGAAAAGATCCATTTAAAAGTGTTTTGGTCTCATCAGTAAATATACATACCTTCAGAAATGTTTACAATGCACCACCAAATGTATTTCTACTGCTATTTTTTTATGTCGACGTTATACTGTTTGTATAATATGATGTCAAAACAGACAGCCCAGTATCATGGCAGGGTGTGAAATTGTCACATGATGTAATCTACTGCTTTTGTGTACATTGACACAAACATAGACAGAGGACAACAAACCACGAGACAAGTGTTCGGCACCACGTGTCTCAACGTCCTGTTGTGGTTTTGTTGCCTCACCCTAATATTCATTTTGTTGTATCGTAGTTATTTTGAGCCCAGCTGTTCTGTTTTTGCTAAACCTAACTGGTTTTGATGCCTAAACCTCAATTTCGTTTTGTAATGTCGTTGCGAGCGGCAACAAAAAAATGGACCATGCTTGTCCCTGTACACCAAACCAATAGATTGCCGGTTGTGAGTGATTCACCAACTGCTGTGAGACTGTGTTGAAGCAGAGCACACTTGGCGGGTGCGCACGTTGCTTAATGAATCACATCGACCACAAAGCTCCACTTGCCTCTTTTGTAGAAGAGGAATCTTGGGGACAAACAAAGTGAAACTAATTAAATGTATTTATGTCACAGCCCCACGTCTTTATCCCTGGGCTGGTTTTGATCTCCAGGTTTTTTGTCACATGCATACATCTTTTTTGAGACGAAAGCACAGTTTCAGCAAGCCTAAGAGAAGGAAACATCAAGAATGATGGTGATGTGATCCATTTTGTTAGGCAATTTCAAATAAGTCAAACTCAACAGCAAAGTAGAGCAGAAAATAGAGGGAGTTTGAATAGGCTGCCCATGTACGTGTGGTCTTTATAAAACATCCATCCACCCACAGAACAAAACACTGCTGACAGCCCAAACAGACGGTGACGTTTAACAAGGACAAAACACCACAAAGGTGCCATGCTTTCTTTTCACCGTTTGAAGTATTTGGGGTTTTTCCCCCAATGAATCTCAGCTCCAGCAGGTTTATTTCAGGGCATCGAGTCTTGCGTAACTGTCATTTACAGGTTGTGTTGGGGAAGAGAGTAGCTCCATTTGCTGTTTGTCTTTCCTATATGTTTTTCATAAGCTCTACGCTTTGTTTTTATTTTTTATTATGCCATCTTTTCTCTTTTTCAATTCCTTTGGAGTTTGTTTAATGAATCATACATTATGGAAATTTCTATGGCTCACAGACTATATTATACTTTCATGAGTAATCATAATTAATAATTCAGTAATTCTCAGATGAAGCTGCACTGTGCAATGGGGCCCCTAGGGTGCACCTCCTTAAAACTGATCAAATCCCACCAACTGCACCTCCTGAGCTGAGCCCTCAGACTGCACCTGCAGGGCATCCCCCGCATTGAATGCCCACTAACAGGCACTTCTTAAGCAGATATTTTGAAACTAAAAGATATTTTGAAAGAAGGTTTGAGATACCTCATATTTGCACTGTGATAATCTGTCCGCAGGTGTTTTGATACCATGACTTTGAGTCGATGTGAGTCACTGTACTGAAACACGTTGGCAAGTTGCAGTTCTGCTGGGGGATTTGGCTCTGCAGCTGTAAATGGATAGCAAGTATAAAAGAATACAACAGACAGGACAGAGACGGTGACATTATGGACAACATCAGTTCATAAAAAACACATGAATTTAAGTATTTAAGAGCCGGTTTCTCAATGTCAGTATTAACATGATGATTTGTGTATTGTGAATTTCATCGATAGCTAAAAAGACATGTAAGATACGCAGGTAGTTTACCAATAAGTGTTTTGTAAATACGTAGACAACAGTGCCGTTCTCTATACTGCTGTAACATGTTACACACAAGGCCACACCTGGTATTAAGTTATATGATGTAGAGTAAATAAAAAAATACATATTCTGTAACAGGTACTACAATAAATAATAGTGGAATAGTGTCTTCCTTAATGGTACAGGCCTACTAGTTTATTCATATTGGCAAACTTTAAGTATTTACAACAGCTTATACTATACACATACACATACACACACACACACACACACACACACACACACACACACACACTAACACCTGGGAGCAATCGGTTCATAAGAGGAGGAAAATAATCCACTAACACAGACAGAGACAAAGAGCCACAACATCCACCACAATCTACCATAAATAGACATTTTTCTCATTGTATATGATTAATTCTTTCATTTCCTCGGATTAGATTATCTGATGCTGCTTCTGCTGCCGCCGTGTGTGTGTTCGTCTCTGCCCTCAGTGATGTAATAACCCCAAGCTTTCAGACGTCAGTGGCTCTGATGCCTATCATACTCTCTCTCTCTCTCTCTCTCTCTGCACTCACACACGACCTGAGGGACTCATGACCCACACACTGGGCAGACATGGAATGGGTTTAATAAGGTTGAGAGTAGTGTGTGTGTGTGGTTGTACGTATACGTGCGTATGTCATTGGTCTTCTTGCCCGGGACATTTGCTCTTTGCGGATTCCCCATTTTAAATGGCAGGACTTAAATCTCTTTTCAGAGCGCCTAATGAAGTCCCTGGAGGGTATGTGCAGTAAGAAAGGATGCTGAGACGTTGATTCACACATTCATTAGGCTGGCTGTGAAAAGTGGAAACCACACAGGATGGTTTAATGGTGTTAATGGTTCGAGTGGGCATCTCAGGTGTCACTGGGCAATAACAAGAGCTTTGGAAGATTTTCACTGCTTATTACGCACAAAACAATATAATCGATCTTCTGTCTCGAGGGAAGTAGTTAGGTATTGATCCCCACGTGACGCATTTGCAATCAAAACGTCACAGAGCATTAAGGGCTTACAGCTGACATGCAAGTAAAACACTCTTTTGTTTTCTCGTTATTTGATATGATCTGTTGTCTGTGTTAGAATGCAAATGATATCCCCCGTGACCTTTTCTGCTGAAACTGGAAAATAATAATCAACAGGTTCTGTATCTGTGTGGCTCCTCAAACAGCTTATTTTGAGTTTAATCGTTCTGCTGACTGGTGTAAAGGGGTAGTTTTGGGAAATAGGCTTATTTGGCTTCTTGCCAAGAGTTAAATGAAAAGTTCGATATCATTCTCATATCTGCACAGTAAATATGAAGCTACAGTCAGAAGATGGTTAGCTTGGCTTAGTATAAAGACTGTAAACAGCTAGTCTAGATCTGTCCAAACATTACAAAAACACTAATAACGCAGCTTGGTCCATGCTCCTTGGTTTCTGACACCGATGCTCTTTTAGTGTGTCTGTACAGGTGAGAAGAAGTGACCATATGCTCACAAATATTGGAATCTAAAGCAGAAGTGAATTTGCGTTGTTTCTTTCTCTGACGTATGTGAGCTGTTGGAGGATTCATGGTTCACAAGGCTGCCAATTTATTTCTGCATAGGAGATTTGCCTCCAGTTCACAAACAAGAATACATGGAGGAATGACAAAATGTGCTTCAGTTCTGCAACAGCTAAAACGAGTGCGCACAAGGAGAACAAAAATAGAGAGAAAACAAATTAAAAAAAGGTGGAGCCTCTTTGTTTCTCCCCATCGTTTAGTAACATCTCCTGAGGGATCCATAGTGCTGACAAGTTTCCTTTGTGGGCAAATTGAAAGAATGAGCTCGGTTAGATGGCTCTTCCTTCGGTGATGTCTGCGCTGCAATTTGATGGTGACGCTTTACTGTCTTTATGCCGTCACACCGCTCGGTGCTGGCCGTGACCATACACTGCTGCGATGTCACCACCCTTTATTCGATTAGTCTTCTTCGACCACTGCTGCCTCTCCACACAGGCATTCAATCACACTGCTGCCTCTGCTGCAGCCTGCCAAGCTCATTACACGGTGGAGCTCAGGCTCATTTACTCTCTCTACACTACTCCCTCTTAGAATCTTAGAATTTCCATTTTTTCATTCTTTTACCTTACTTCCACCTTTGTAGCACGGTACACGTTTTTTTTAAGTAGTGTTATCAGTTTGTTAATTGAGCTGTTGTTTATTTTTACTTACTGGTATGTTATGGAAAGATGCTTGTTGGTTTGACAATCTTCTGTGTGTAGGCCTACTATGCGGTCTATTATACATTAGTGCACA